TCAGGATTGCCAATCCTTCTGGGGCGGTGCGAGAAGAGGTAACAGGTCTCTTTGGGGCTGAGCTGGATCCATGCTTGGCAGATTGTAAAACAAGCCCAGCTTCCAAAACACGACTGAATTTTTCTGACTCAATATCAGTACTCCAATGATAGACCAGACAGACGGACTCAATGGCGGGATTTGAGGGGCAGAATTTTTCTACTAGGCTATTGTTAACCCAGCAAACCAAAGCCCTACATTTAGGGTTATCCTAGAGGGACCAGCACTGGGAAGCTTGCAACAGTGCTTTCCAGATAGTCCTCACAATGAAACTCCCAACTATGTACACTCTGGGGTCCCCCAAACCTTAGCTGAAGCCAAACTGTGCTTAATCCCTCAGGAATTAAGTTAGCAAAGGTGTGCACATTTACATGTATGGGTGACACACACATACCGAACTTTCAGTTTGATGTTAATAGGTTATATAGGAAGTTTCAGTTTGGTTTCGATCTCTGAAGCATGGTGATGGGTTGTCGTTTGCTAACCAAAAAAGGATCAATGTTACTCACAAAAAGATTGACCGAAACACCACTGGAATAATTAAATACAGCATTGCCTGAAGAGCTATATGAATTTATGAAATTATTGTGTGAAAAATGACAATTAGAGCATTGGAATTATAAAGAGCACAAAACTATGACTCTGACACACCCAGAAACCTCTCACTACGATTAAAAGTTTTCAATTCCACTTGCTGAGGACTCACCAAAGCGTAGTTTCTGTTTCTAGATCTCTCCTGAAGGGAAAAAAACACCCCACCTGCCTAGGGCCAGAGAATACAGGTGCTGGTTGGCAGAAGCCAAAGCATTAGAAACAGTAACAACAAATTGCATTTATATAACTCATTTACATGAGCTTTTTGTAAGAACATCCCAAGACCCTACGGGGTCATGGGGTTACGGAGCCTGGTGCGGGAGAGGACACAAGCTGCAGAGTTCTGAAAAATCTGAAGCTTGTGGAGGGAAGAGTTGGGAAGTCTGGTGAGAGGTGAGTTAGCAAACCCCCCTACTCGTCGGACTTTGTCAAACACCAAAGTGTACATGGGGGATGGGAGGAGGGAGGCAGGGGATACTACTGGTATTGAACCACCTAAAAGTGTGACTTTTACCATTACGGTAGGCTGTTGGCTTCCTACTGTTGTGCAGCTGGAATCATCCTATCAGGATTTGGCAAGTGGGAGGGATCCCATACTGCAGTCTGGGCCTTGAAAACCCCATTGATAAGCTAGGGAGGGTATTCAATCATTAACTAGATCCTGGAATGCTGCAGAACTCAATGAATGATCACCAAATCCACCACACAGTATTGACTCATTACTCTCTCTCACCTCACTGGGTATTAATCTCCCTCCCCCATTAGGATAGTCTTACAAACAGCTCACTCTGTGGGCACTTTATTTTTACTTTTTTAAACGTTCGCTTCATTCAAATCAATCTGATCCAGTCAGTTCAGATACTAAATGTTCCCTTCAATTATCTACTCTGGCTCCCTTTGGATTCTGCTCTTCATTCAGTCCTCCTCTCTATCAAGTTAACATTTCTGTTTACCATGTGGCATCAAGTTAGAAGGAACTTCTAATACAATGATATACATACAGTAAGTAACTCATTTACATAATTTCAAAAATTCTTAAACATTTACTACCAAATGGTTCAAGGTATCAGTCATTATAGTTGACATGAGAGATTGGTTCTTCCATCTATATCACTGAAGATGCCATTGGTGTCAATGAAATATCTCCTGATGCATAACAAGCTGATCTGAATGTCCCTGGGGTCGAATTAATCCTTAGGCTGATGTTTACGTGTGGTTTGTATTTTTAACGGGATAGGATATGGGTGTTCAGCGAGCGCTTTTCAGTGTTGGTTTGCCTCAATCTGATTTTTTTTGCTTGATGCTACTACCTGGAACTTGACATATTTAAGAGATGTGTAAAGTAAAAAGAACACATGGTCAACCAAGCTCATTTCACTTAGCTTCAGCTAGCAGTGTGTTTAAGTCAAATTGCATTTGCCTCCAAAAACACAGTCACTATGCTTTACATTATGCTTAAATCCTGTGAAGCACTTTGAGACATCCTTCCAGTATGAAAAGTGCTGCATCAAATTAGTATTATTAACTGAAATATGTAGACAGGAACTATGGTTGAGGAGGGGGTTCACATTTTCTCTATTTTTAAGATGCCATGAAAGTGTTGGTTTTAGGCCCAACATGTTTTATTGTAATTGTTATCAGTATGGGCAGTGATGACTGGTCCAGGCTTGAGTCACCAGAGGGCATTTACAATTGAAGCCATCAGGTACCACGTAGAATGAATGAAATACTGGATTGTCAGGATGCAAATAGGCAACTTTGTGAGTTGGTAAAGAGCCAGTGCTGTTTTATTTATTATTTTTATTACTATTAGCTCAGAGCCTACTTAATTTCTTCTAAGGTTCCACATATTTGCAGATGACACACAAATCTACTTCTCCTCCAGCTGTGACTCCAGGTCCGCCAATGTTCTTTCAGCTTCTCTGGCACACATCAGGTTCTGGATGAGCGCAAACTTGCAAATAAACGTTGACAAGCAGAAGCCACACTCATTGGCTCCCATTAACATCTTTTGTCCTGTGTCTTTGACCTCCTGAACCTCCCCGGTCTATCGTTCATATTCATCTAGGCACCAGGTTCGACCCACAGCTGTCCTTTCATGCCCTGGCACCTCCCTACCTCTCCGACCTGCTTACTCCCTAATCCATTACTTGCTGCCTCCGCTCGACTGTCTCCAGCCTCCTGCATGTCCCTCGTGGCCTCCTTTCCTCCATCGGAGGCTGCACTTTCAGCCACTACGCCCCCAAACTCTGGTACACTCTTCCTCTATCCTTCCGCCTTACCCTTCCTTCGCCATCTTCAGGTTGTGCCTGAAAACCTTCCTCTTCGACCATGCTTACAGTGACCTCCCACCTCTCCTCGACTTAGTGTCGTGCTCTGCCACTGTCAAGCACTCTGGGAAGCTACCCTGCATGAGGGGCGCCATACCAATGCAAGTTGTTGTAAGGTTGACTTCAATTCCGATTCATATTATTTGTAATATAATTATTATTCATTTGACCAATTCACTGGTCATTATTATTCATTAATAATAACCCTTGCATTTGATATAGTGCTTGTTGAGACGTCTCAAAGTGCTTCACATACTATAAAGTGAATTGACTGTATATTTTGTGGGCGAAATGCAGCTCTTCCAGTGAAGACATTTCCCATATTTTACGCAGCCTGGAACCCGATCTCAGCACAGATAAATGCTTCCAGGGCACTCGCAGCTCAGAATATAGAGACACGTTAAACTTTTCAGTGTTTCGGTCACATTTATTAAGTTTTACTGAAATTAAAATATTTGAAAATCTTGTACAGTTCTATGTCATCTCTCGTCAAGAAGATCCTACATAGAGATAGGTGAGAGAACGGTGGACATAAGGGTGGTAAAATGTGTGCACCAGCAACATAATAATAATAATTATTATTACATTTGATATAGCACCTTATCACTTTGTTAAAACATCACATTCCTAGGTTTTTACTAGTGTAGTGACTGTGTATTTGTAGGCATACTGAGAATTGGCTTCCTATTAGTTAGGTGGATTAGACCGTCATGCAGAGCTGGAAATCAGCCCTGGTTCTGAATGGAATTCCACATTACTTGCCTTGATATTTGAACCACTCCCTCTTCCCTCTCCTGGGAAAATACAACACTCATTCTCTCCCCATTTTCCTCTCTATTTTTGATGAAAATAAAAGCTGAAGCATTTTCCAGGAAACTTGCTTGGGGGTGTGTTCATAAAATTACCCACACACATCCACAAGTGTGTCAGGTTGCTTATTAAAAAGAAGGGACAGTGAGCCGGTGTGCAGTGGAGCAGCTGAATCTTTTTCAGCCTTAATGAAGTGTTTTGGAGGATGAATCTATGTTAATCTATGAAGGTGCTGCTGCTGTTTTTGTTTTCAGATCTTCATTTTAATCTCTTTGTGGGAACATGAGGTAGTTGTTTTGTGAAAGTTGGAAAGATCAACAGCTGTGACGACAAGTGCATGGAGGCAGAGGATTGCTGAGGAACAAGTCCAGCACAGCTCTAATACATGAAGCCTTCTGCTGTGTTTGGTAGCTGCTGACCCTGCTGTTTATAGCTTGGTGATTGGACATATATTGGGCTACGTTGCTATTTTTATTGCGAACTGGTTAATGATCAGGTCTCTCAATGTGGAACTCAGCAGTTAACAGCTTGTGAGGGTTTAATGTTTAACTTTCTGAGGTTTAATGGGAATGTGTTAATGCCCTCTCCGATGATTGTTGATAGATTTTGAGTTTTAATTGTAAAGTTGCTTAGGTGAGCCTGAAGATGCCGCACATGAAAAGTCGTGCAATTTGTTTGGTTTTGTTTCCACACTTCATACAGTGCTGAGGGTACAGTGAAGTTCTTCCGAATCCTGTGTGACTGTGGCATGAGCTAGTTTCAGAATTATAGGCCATGATGAGGCATTTACTTCAGGGAGTTTAACCTCAGGGTGCAAAGGCAGCTACTGATGTGTAAATGTAGTTTATTAGAACCAGAGCATAAAACTGATCACCTCAAATCCATAGTGGAAGGGGAATACCTACAGGTACTTTGTGAAGGATTCAGCAGGGTTTTCAGATAGACCGAGTTGGTGTGCATGAAAGATTTAATGTAAAACATACTCTTCACCCCACCCGTGGGACATTATTAACCTTTGCTCAAGGAAGTGAGTGCTTCATTAACAATGTTCAGGAACATTTTTTGTTTCAGTGCTTATTAAACTTTAAAGATGATGTAGTTTTGCTTTGTACTATATCAGCTGACCTCTCCTACAGTGGCAATTACTGTGCAAACAGCTCACTTTATACAGACTTTAAATTCCTCTGTGGTGTTAGTAAGCAGGGCTGTTTTCTGCTTTCTCTGTAGGTTTCTTGCTGATTGCGAGGACTTGTCTATAAGGAAGTGAACCCTCCACTGGACGGTGCTGACCAGATATCTGTACGTAGAAAAATATGCACAACATTGCAAAATGTGTTTGATCTTTAGTAACTTTGTTTTATGTAATTTTATTTTAATGCCTTGAAAAATTGTAGTTCTTTTCTTATGTCTTCCTTTTTCTAATCTTCACGGTGTTTTCTCTCAGCTGGGTGAGGCTCATTTGTACCTTTTACCCAGACCACTCCCTGTACCATTTTCAGTTGCAGCTGAGAGAGGGCGTGTTGAGGTGATAAAGAGGTTCCTTGCCTGTTCAGAAAAGAATTTTTTTGGGTGGAGTTTGCTCTAATTCTATTGTAGAAAGCCGTAATAGGAGTGAGAATGGTTCAGACATCTCTGCAACAGTGCATTGTGTTTCATGTTATAGTACATGCTGTCGTCCAAAGACGTCACAAAAACTTGATAAGGCACTACATCAAATGCAAGGATGATTATTATTGTGTGGTGCAATGATCTGCTGGAACCTGGTGGCTTTGGAATCGGTGTAAATTCAACCCCATGGTCGCGCCCACTGGCTTTGTTACCCTTTCACCTCCACCCCTTCCATCTCTCTCTGCCACACTCAATCTGACTCAGTCAAATACTCCGAGACTCTATCAGTGTGAAGGGCGCTAAATAATTGTGTTATCTGCTGGAAGTAGCTGTAATGTATAATACTGAGAATAAAGAGTGCCCAGCATCGAGTTCTTAAGGCAGGTGCTTTTGGATTTGCTGTGATGTTTTATGATCTCACCTGGGTTGAATTACTATCTTGTAACTCCCTACCCGCCATCTATTATCCAGTATCCAGTATGTTATGACCTCTCAATCCATTAAGTAACATTTGTTGGGTCTATTCTTTCCATGGAATGATTGCCAATGAAACTCTCCACCTTGTTCAATTATCTTTGGTTTTAAAAGTTCATCTTTTGAGAGGAGAATGGCAGTGGTGCAAACATTTGGTTACACAATCCAAGGGCTAGCTTACAGTGGTCCATATGGTATATTAAACTGTTCAAAAGGCCACAGTCTGACTCCCCATCTCCCTGTTTTGATGGAGATTAAGTATTTGAGGGCTGGTGGGAAAACTTGCTGCTGGAGCAAACCTCCTCGATTTTGCCTGCTGTTAGTCGCAAGCAGGTTCTGAGAGAGATAATAATAATAATAATGAACCTTGCATTTGCTATAGCGCCTTATTATACCTTTGAGGTGTCTCAAAGCGCTTCACAGAGTATACTGTAAAGTGAATTGACTGTATATTTTGTGGGCGATGGTAATTATTCTGTTGATGCTACCCCAGTACTGGCAGTCCTGAATGCTGATGGTGCTGTTTAGTTGAATTGAGAAATGTTGGTGAAGAGCCAAAGCCTGTAGTGCAGGACACCATCACGTTTGAAAAGAGAGAGAGTTGTTGTTAGGTGATGCCAAGCTTAGGTTCTTATAAGCCTGAAGATTGTCAGAGGAACAGAGGTGAGGTGAGGAAGGTGAGGAAATCCTAAGAATTAGAGAGCTTGAGTATTATTAATTACTCAGTTGCTGCTCCTCACCGATTGTAAGCTTGTATCATGGAAAATCGAGATGGTGCGTGTGGAGCAGTGCTTGTTGGCCGGGGAATATGAGGCCTGAAGTCTGCAGAAGCTGAGATGATTGGTCTCCATGGCATCACAGCGCTGGCCTCAAATTAGGATCTTAAAACCCAAATTGTTTTGAAAGTTTGGAGGAAGTACTTCACATTTGCAGTGTGTGCACTTCGCTTCCTTTAATGCTAGAACAAATTACTTATTCTTTTATACCTCTGCCAACACTCTCTCTCTCTCCCCACCCCCCACACCACGGCTTAATTAATAAATCTTTCCATTTGTGGGGGGTGGGGGTGTATTGTGGATGTGCGTGCTTGTGTGTGTGTTTCGGAGGGGAAGTGCGGATACCTATTTTGTCTTCTGACCCACAATAATAATAATAATAATAATAATCCTTGCATTTGATATAGCGCTTTTCACGTCAGGAGGACGTCCCAAAGCGCTTCACAGAACACACTGTAAAGTGAATTGACTGTATATTTGTGGGCGAACGCGGCAGCCAATTGCGCACAGCAATGTCCCACAAACAGTCGTAGATTGAAAATGACCAATTTAATTATTGTTTTTGGTTTTTTGGAGGGATTATTATTAGGCGTGTGGAGTAAGGAAACTTGCCCAAGGTTTCGCCCTCTGCCTGGAATTGAACTCAGGTCTCTCACTTGCAAAGCGAGTGCTCTAGCCACTGAGCTACAGGACTCCACATGTCAAATTGCACTCCATTAGGAAATTCTGTCTTTCTAAACATGTTTGTGAAATATGTACTGTATTTCCAATAACATCTGACCTTCTGCTCCAGTGTTGTGATCTCTTTTTATCTCTGCCATTAAGCCATCTTCAGTGTGTCACAAGTGCCCTCCATAATTTCAGATAATATCCATCTGAAGCTTTCTCCCCACCCCTCTCTTGAAGTGTGGATTGTATACAAATGCTGTAGCTGCAATTTTAAGCCCGATTGTCAAAGACAGGGTAGATCAGGGGAGATAACGTTTTCCTTAGTTTTCTGATCTTGGGAGAGGTGTAGGCATAGTTTGGGTGAGGAATGATCGTTCTGAGTCATTGTGCAGGGTGGACAATAAAGGGATCCTGCTACATTTTAAGAACAACCCCTTTTTGACATGAAGCCAGGACCTGTTAGATTTGGTGGTTTTAGTGATCTTAGTTATTTTATTATATTGGGCTTTAATTCATGAGAGAACTTACCTTGTTTCTGTCTTTGCAATGTATTGTTTGTAGGAAACCATTTATCTTGGTGACATGGCAAATTGGCATTTTAGTCTTCAATTATGTCCTCTTGCATTTTGGTGTTTTTTCTAGAAATTATGGTTTCCTTCGTTTGCAATTATCTCTAATTAGATCTCAGTGGGGAAATTAAGTATGGATTTGAACTTACTATTCAATAAAGTCAGAAAAGCTAGCTACAGAGCACCCTTTCATTTGAAGCAAGTATTTTTTAAGTTAAATTCTTTTTAGGGTTTTGGGAAGTAGCCTTTACATAGTCGCTAACCCAATGGATGGTTGCCCTGGCTGTGTTAGATCAAAGCACTGTAGTTATTGCGCTATATTCTGACTTGGACACGGTGTCTGGGTGTATGATGTACTGACTGCTCTTAGTGTGATAAGGGAAGGGAACTTCCAACTGTTGGAGTGCCTTGTACAGTTTTCCTGTTTTTCCATTCTATATATGAATCTGTTGACATATAGCCAACTGCATCTTTGCAACGTAACACTCGTGCTCCTGTCTTTGTTCCTTTGATAGCAAGCTGTACTGAGCCTCATTCACTGAGAGATGCCCTTGCTCGCCACGTCTCAGGAGGCACGGCTTAGGAAATACAAACAAGTTAAATGCTTTAAATCACAATGTGCAAGAGTGACATGTTTTTCGGTTCTGTTTAGACATTTGAACAGGATTTGCATAGTCTGTGACCTGCTGGCCTCCATAATTCACTTTATACGCCCTTTATTATTTATGCGCATTCTGGAATCCATGGAAACCACATGCAGTCAGTCTGGCAAAGGAATTGAATGCTTCTAAGAAGGGCAGTGGACAGTTGATTCACTTCAGTGTAGCTGTCCACAGAGTTGGGAGTCCTCACATTGCTGTGTTCAAGTAAAAGCTGAGGTGATGGTTGTTAGGTTGTTGCATTGTTTTCACAGCAGAGCATTTCTTCTCCATTGCAGCTCCCATTGAACTGCAGCACATGCCAAAGCACCGAAGTAAATCTTTCATATGGACAAGAGCATGACATTTTAGTTCAGGGTTAAATTAACCCTGCCAGTTAAGCCAGTGTTTTACTCTATGGTATGATGGGGAAGGGAGATCGAAATGGGCTAGGAAATTATCAGTGATGTAATATCCTCTGTCATTCATATGAAATGTTTGAGAGGTGATGTAGGACAACTTATATAGTGTTTATATCAATTAAAGCTCTTTGCATATCACTTATAATAATAATAATCCTTGCATTTGATATAGCGCTTTTCACGTCTTCTAGACGTCTCAAAGCGCTTCACAGAATACGCTGTAAAGTGAATTGACTATATATTTGTGGGCGAAACGCGGCAGCCAATTGCGCACAGCAGTGTCCCACAAACAGTCGTGGATTGAAAACGATCAATTTATTATTGTTTTGTTTTGGAGGGATTATTATTAGGCGTGTGGAGTAAGGAAACTTGCCCAAGGTTTCACCCTGCCTGGAATTGAACCCAGGTGTCTCGCTTGCAAGGCGAGTGCTCTAACCACTGAGCTACAGGACTCCACTTACACCTGGATTCAACTGCAGTAGTTGCAAAGTCTCCTGCCATAGTTTTCATTCAGATGCTTGTGGTCTGTCACAATAATAATAATACTTGCATTTGATATAACGCCTTATCAAGTCTTCAAGACTTCTCAAAGCGCTTCATAGAATATACTGTAAAGTGAATTGACTATATTTTGTGGGAGAAACGTGGCAGCCAACTGTGCACAGCAGTGTCCCACAGTTGTAAATTAAATGACCAAATTATTATTATTTTTTAAATAATTGTTTGGGAGGGATTATAGCCCCTGGAAAGTGATCCGCCAATCGACTAACAACAGGGTTCTTACTTACTAATAATAGGTAATATAGGGGTGTGGAGTAAGAAAACTTACCGAAGATTTTGCCCTGCCTGGGAAGTGAACCCAGCTTGCGAGGCGTGTGCTCTACCGCTATACTACAGGATTCATATAAAACTCATTAAATGATTAAAAAATATATTTGAAAGTTATGATTTGAGGAGAATCTTTGAATTCATACTGCATTTTGGTCTGTGGCGTAAAATACTAGGGGTCTGAAACCTCTCATTAATTGGTAGAAGATACAGCTGAGAAGCAGGCCATTTTGTCCTTCCAGTCCAGTTGTTTGTACTCCATACAAGTGCCCACCATAGATCCCATCTCAAATCCTAGATACCTTAACCCTCAAG